CAAATCCAAGATGCACTTTTGGGTATCTTACACTTGAATATGGATTCCCTTGGGTGATATTTAACTTTCAAAACATTGCTCACTAGTCGATTAGGTTGGGTGATGAATCTCCAAGTTTGCTTTACAAGCAAGGCTTTGTTGAAGCATTATTGTTCTTTAGAGCCTAGCCCTTCTACATTTTTGTCCTTGGTCATTCCTTTCCAAGCAAACCAATTCATTTTCCTTTTCCTATCTATCTCACCCCACAGTAATTGGACATCATTCCACAATTTGTTAGATAACTTGAAGCAGGATATTACATATGGCATAGCCTTGTATATTGACATAACCTCCATCCAAAATATTCACGTTGATTATCAGATGTCCGATGCTTCAAAAAACATCTAATACAAGCATTTCGATAGTCTCAACAATTTTTGCTCTATTTGATTCAAAAAAAATTTTTCATTCTTTTGGACTTGACACTCGTTCTTGACATTTTCACATATGAACACATTAGTCCAAATCATCAGTTTGTATAGTTATCATCAAAATCAAGGATCAAATTCAACATTCTCTACCTTTTCGATGATGACAAACCAAAGGATGATTTTGCAAATGAGGGCATTTGATAAACCTAACAACGAACAAGAAAATATGCTTCCCCTTAACAAATGCGGAAATAAAGTAAACATGCTCCCCCCTCAATATGAGCATGGACACGTGACAAAGCAAATATACTCCTTCTCAATATAAGCACGAAATAGATTTTGAATACCAAAAAAAAAAAAAAAACTCCCCCCTCAATATAAACTTATACGTATATAGCGCAATGTATATCCTTTTCTCCCCTTTTTGTCATCAATCAAAAACACATGTAAAGGGTAGAGGTTTTGAGAAAATTTTGGCCAAGTATCCTCTTTAAAATTAAAGTAATCCACTTGCCAACAAGTCCAAATATGATAACCAAATGGAGTCCAAGAAATAAATAGATCCACAAACACAACATGGAGATATCCATAAACATCAAAACAACCAAAAGAACAACATTCATAACCATTAATATAAGTAAAAAACGTCTAGGAACATAGCCATAAACATCAAAATACTCAAAATAGCAAAATACATAAAATTTCCACTCAAATTGAAGTTTGTGCATCCTACATGGAATGCACGGAATATGAGTTCTAAAGATGGCTAAGATGCCTAAAACTCTATGTGAGATGATCCAAGCCTTCTCCTTGCAAGACAAAATTCTGATGCATCAAACTCTTCCTTAATGGTTTTATCATCCTTCTCAGGAACTACCTTGGGCTAAGTCGGTGCAACTTGTTTCGTGCCTTGTGGACATTGTGGACCTTGTAGAGTCGATTAAGGAGTGGGTTGTGTACCCTAAACCTCTTCTCTTGGATTTTGCTTTCGAGTGGGAACTTCTTTTTGAGGTGGAGGTGAGAAGGGCAGATTTTTCATATTCATAAAACTATTTTGCTGCTCTAGTGTCATAACCATATTCATCCCATGTTCCAGAAGAAGAACATGTTGATTTAGCTCCAATAAGATATTCATCACTAGGTTTGAAGAGGACAAGGAAGAGGAAGAGGAAGGATGAGTGGAAAGGGTATGGGGATGAATGGTGAAGGGAAACTCAACTCAGAATGTTTAGAGTGTCGAGGAGAAGGGGCTGGTGTATCATGAACATGCTTGGAATGGGATTTAGAACCAGCCTCTTTGTAAACCCAAGACCTATGAACAAATTTAATGTTCTTCCTCTCAAAATAATTTTTTTGCTAAAAAATAAGTTGAAGTTTCTTTTGGGGGAATACTACTAAAGGGAACATTGAAATGCTCAAAAATTGGTGTAAAGAATTTGACATAAGAAAGTTTCCAATGAGTGTCAGTGCTAAGCTTGCGTATAAAATGACACATGACAAAATCAAAGTCAATTCAATTTTTTTTCCATAACACAATAAAACAAATAAAGCTTCATCTTGTTTGCATCAATCCTATGCTAATCAGTAGGGACTAAAAAATTAGAGACCATAGTAAAAATGATGAGATGGAGAGGATCACGATCATTCAATTTTAGCTCAACAGGGGTGTTAAACTTTGTTTTAAAATAAGTCATCAGCTTAGTAGCACCAAAATGGTTGGCAGCAGTACGAAATTCTTCGATTGTTCCTACCCTTAAAGTTGGAAAGAATTTTTTCAAGAACTTTTTTTTTAAATCATTCCACATTCTTATGGATCCTGAAGGAAGGTAGTAAACCCAATCCTTCGCTTTGTCTGCTAATGAGAACGGGAAATCTCTCAATTTTATTTGTACCTCTATAACACCTCGTGGCTTCATAGTTGAACAAGCCACATAGCATTCGTTCAGGTTTTGTGCGGATCTTCACCTGCAAGACCATGAAAGGTGCGCAATAAAAGAATCAATCACGATTTTAATTCAAAAACCACATCTATACTAGGAAATTCAATACATAAAGGCTATTGGTTCATGTTAGGAGTCACTAACTCACTTAGTGTTATCTGTTCTGCATTTCCTTCTCTTCAAAAATTGTTTCTTCACTTTCAAAATCTCTAATTAAAGGCTTTGAGGATGAAAGACTTTCCCTTTGTTTTTTTGCCTTCCCATTAGCCTTCAATCTTTGAATAAAAAATTAGTTCACCTGTATGAGAAGATCTTGGCATAAACTAGTTTGCTGTTAAAGTAAAATTAAGATTTAAAAAAAAACCTCCCTAGCAACGGCTCCAAATTTTTCATTGGCTGTCTAAACCACTAAAAAATAAAACAGATCCCACAATTACAATAGAGAAAATTTTGTAGCATGATAGTGAAAACCAGGTTGAACCTAAGGGAGATTTTTTTGTGGCTAACCCCGTCCACGGGGAGGGACGCCACCCCCATTTTTATTTAGAATAAACTGAAGTACAAAAGAGACCAAATTGAGCAACTTCTAGAGCTAGGGGTTTTGCACCCTCCGAATAGAAGGCAGTCCCAAGCTATCTAGTCGAATAGAAGGCGGCCATTCACTCCAATGCTCATAAGTCTTAACAGCTTGGTGAGGATGAGCTACCCCTACATTAGCCAAAATATCTGCTACTTTGTTTGCCTCCCTGAAGCAGTGAGAGAACCTAGTCGGTTCATCTACCAACTTCCATATTTGCCAGACCTCCCAATGAATATGCCACAGACAGCATAGCTGACATTGAAGAACCCCCACCAAGACTAGAGAGTCCAATTGAATGTTAACATTCGTAATCCCCTTCTGAGCACATAACTGCAGTCCCTTCAAGAGAGCCAGTGTTTCGGCATGGAAGTTAGATGTCTCCTCGAAAAAAGCTGAAAACCCACCAAGGGCCACCCAGATGCATCCCGCAAAACTCCTCCACCCCCACATGTCCTAGGATTACCCTTGGAGCAGCCATCAGTATTCAAGGTTAGCTCCCCCACTCCAACTAGCTTCCAGCAAACAAATTTGAATCCAAGCCTCCTACCCGATTGAGACGACCAGTCATACAACTGCACAAAGCATTGAGTATCGATACGCTCCTTAAACTGACCTTCAAGCAGCAATTTCTTCTCCAAAAAGACAGCTTGACAGATAGAAGTGGAATGCAGCTTGATATCTTCAAAAACTGCTCTATTTCTAGCCTTCCAAAGATGCCAACAAATAAGACTCAGGAGAGTACAGTAGAGAGCCCACTGCCTCTCCGAGGCGGGTGTTGCCAACCATCAAGAGACCAAGCCGGCCCACACAGATGGGGGCAAGCTAATGCCACACAGCCTTCTAAAATATGCCCAAACCTTCACAGGAACTTGCCCCATTGCAAAAATGTGTTCTAGTGATTCAACCGACGCGCAAGGGCAACACACACATTTTGAGGGAACATGAAACCCAAATGTTTCGAGCATGTCATCTAAGGGCAGACGACTCAATAACAATCTAACCATGAAGAATGACACTTTCAACGGAGTTGGATTCTGCCAAATCCTAGAGAGCATAACTGAAGTATTACGGACTTGACGTACCTCCTGAAAGGCCGAGGCGAAGGAGAATTTCCCAGACCTCATTGGCATCCATACCACCTCATCCGCAACTGCTCAGATGGGACCGGCTTTCCCTGGATAGTAGGTATAACCTCTTGTAGGAGAGCTCAGGATAGAAGCTACACATTCCAGTGACCCTGAGTGATGATATCTCGAAAGAAAAAATTCAAGTCAACAGGAACTCGGAGGAATAACGCTCCGCTACCCAACTAGTTATCAAACCAAAAGTGACACGACCCATCCTGTAGCAACCACAGCATAGAAAGCTCCACCTGTCGGTTGACGTCCAGCATCCGTCGCCTGAGGAAGGAGGCGCGGGTTTCCGACGGCTTGGGCACAATTTAGGCACAAAAAGTTGGCACAAGCTCGCTCTATGACTCTGAACACAGCCTTGGGCATCACCGCAGCAGAGAACAAGCGGATTGGGATAGCAGAAAGAACAGGAAGAGATCAAAGTGAGCCTCTCTCCTGAAGATAAAAACTTAGACTTCCAAAACAAGATTTTCCCCAGAATATTTTGACACAGCTCCGCAAAGTAGGACGTCTTGCACCTTCCATCATACAGGGGGAACCCTGTAATACGCTTAATTCCCCGACGTCTTGTACTGGATAAGGACGGGTACACTAAGTAGCAACTCTTTTGAACGTTGAGTAGTTAACCAGAGGATCATTGATACATATCTAGTACCCTCATAACACGGCGTAAAGAGGCTGTGGACCCATTTACTAGAATTAACACATCATCCGTAAATACCAAATGGGTTATCCCAGGGCAACCCTGGGATATCTTAAACCCCTGGAAAGACGTTTGTGACGCAAGGTTGTTTACCCTCTCGATAGAACTTCTGCTCCTATTACAAATAAGACAGGGGATAACGGGTCCTCCTAGCGGAGACCCCTGCTGGGATTTAAAAAACTGGTACGCCGCCCTATTAACCATAATCGAAAACTAGACATTTGAAACCAACTGCTAGACCATATCAATAATGTGTTTGCCAAAGCCAAACTTCCTCAAAACCCTAGTAAGATGAAGCCATGAAACTCCGTCATAAGCCTTGGCCATGTCTAGCTTTAGTACTACGTTCTCCCCTCTCAACTTTTTCCCAATGCCTGCTATAACTTCCTGAGCTAATAGATAATTCTCCGTAATATTCCGGCCCCTGACAAACCCTGACTGCTGGAGAAAGATAATTTTCGGTAACAAAGCTGCTACTCTATCAGACAAGATACGCGATAGCACCTTATTAATGAAGTTGCACAGGCTTATAGGCCGAAAGTTAGAAAAATGCTAAGGGTTTGGGACTTTTTGGAATTTTTGAAATGAGAACAATAGAGGTTGAGGTGATAAAGCGCGGTAGCTCCGCACCACAGAAGAAACTCACTATAGCATTATACATATCCTGGGCAATAATATCCCATGCAAAGGTAAAGAACTTACCAGTAAAGCCATCTGGCCCCGCTGTACTGTCCCTATCCATAGCATGTATCACATGTTTCGCTTCCTCCATCGAAGGAATATCCTCCAGGGCCAGGTTGTCCTCCTGCATAAGTATAGGTGAGATAAGCTGAAGCAACTTAGAACTGGGTGACACAGACTCGGAATACAAGTCTGAGAAAAACTGAATAGTCTCGGAGGCAATGTCCCCATCATCCTTTACCCAAGTTCCCTCCACTATTTTAATTCTATGAATCATACCTTGCATCCTTCTTTGTCCAGCCGCCACGTAAAAGAATTTAGAGTTCCGATCCCCACTTGAGAGCCATTTGACACGAGTCTGTTGACTCCAAAACTGCTCCTCGATTCCCAAAGCGTGACGGAATTCCACTTGTGCCTTTTGTAACCCAATGTGAGCCCCTTCCGAGTTCTCGCGCTCTGCCCTCATTTCTACCTGTACCAGCTGGGACTTCACCCCCTTAACAGCCTCAGAACTATTCCCAAAAGAGCACTTATTCCATTGCTGGATTGCCCTCCTCGTGGCCAGTAGCTTAGCACACAAAATCAGCTAGGGAGACCCATTCACGGCCAGCTCCCATGCATTTTGGATCACTTCCAACAATGAGGCCTGTGATGTCCAAACATTCAAAAATCGGAATGGGCGTGGCTTATTATCCTGGCGAGTGGCAAGCGTGATTTTCAGAAGCGTGTGGTCTAAAGGGTGTCTAGCCAAATGAACCACCGAAATAGAAGAGGAAAGACTCGCACATTTACCATTCACTAGGAGCCGATCCAACCGCTTCCAAACCCGAGCCCTCCCTCGCCTATTGTTACACCAAGTAAAACCGGACTCCGAAAAGCCAACATCATACACCTCGGCTTCCTCCATGAAGGACATAAGGTCCAACCCTTCAGTGGGAGCAAAAGAGCGCCCCCTCCCCCTGCTTATCAGACAGGGCCAAAATCACATTAAAGTCCCCCCAATACACCATGGACGGGAGATTTAATTTTAAATATCCTGTAGGAAACCGAAGTTAGAGAAGAAACAAGGAAATTTGATTAAAAATTTAATAACAAACTAGAAAAATTAAAGAAACTAATCACTTTAAAAGAATTCAATTCAATGGTTAAATGTCCACTCCATTAACTCAGTTGATCATTTAAATACAAAAGCCATCTCTTCAATTTACATAAATAAATATAATTACCTCTAAAGCTAAAGGAAATTGAGACATTCAATTATAAAATTAACCCAAAAAAACTTCCATTTAATTCCTTATTCTCAAGGGAATTCAATATTCATAAGCATGCATCATTCACCTACTCAATAATAGCATTAAAACAAAGAATGCAAATTTATTCCAAACAATCATTCAAAAATTTAAATGATTTAACTTGTCTTATTTCTCAATAGTAAATTAGCATGAAAGGAATATGTGATAGCCCCACCTCACCCTAAGGCGAACTAAAGGGTTCGGCGGACCGCCTACCCAACTCTCGCCGGGACTCAGTCATACCTCAAACACATCCAAAATAAAACTACAAGAAAGAAACATAATAACAATCCAAATCTTAGAGAAACCTTATGTACATTTCTATCTCAAAAGGAGTACAGACTCAAATATACAAAGGTTCTCAATTCATCATACATCCAGCCCGTGCCAAGCGCTAGGGCGAGAACAATTAAAAAAAAAAATTCAAAGAACTAGACCAAGTTAGTCTATACAAAGCTCTTGTCCTTGCTCGCCTTCCCCGGTTAAGGAAAACAAAACTAAAGGAATGAGCTAAAAACTCAGTGAGGTTCCGAACACATAATCAAACAATAAGTCTAGTAAAAGCAATAATCAAACAATAAGTCAAGAAACATGTACAATATAAAGCGATAAGAACATATTCATTAAAAGGATACGTGTTCACAGGGAGCCATTTATTTATTCATTCTTTCATTCTCTTATTCATCCAATCATTTGAAAATGTATTTTTGATAAATAAAACCCCTCATTTGCATTGACATTCATTCGTTCATTTCATTCACCCCCTCCTGGACGTTGGCCAGTCTCCACCAGACTACAAGGTAATACTCGAGTATACGAAACATTCACCCAGGGTCACCAAATTCCCCGATCGAGTCCACTTCTGGCTCGAGTCGACAGGTAACAAAGGGCAAGGGCCCAGTTCAGCCAAACAGCTTACATTCATGCGCAACTAGCATTTAATCATTTAATCATTGAAAATTTCACATTCATTTAGGTCGAGTGCGATAAAGTACACACTCACCTAGTAAAATTCGTTTTAATAGTCATTGATAACATGGAACATGTAATCATACATCCACCACAAGCCATATAATCAAGAACAAGCCATATAGTCAATGAAAATATAACAAACAAAGAACACTCACCTATTTATGCAAAATAATATCCAAAATATCTTGCCGGATAATACCGTCAGTCACCGATAAACCCTAATATAATCAAACTAATGCATTATGCTTCAACTATCAAAGATTTAAGTGATTCCAAGAAAATTTGAATACGTACTAGTACAAAATATAAATATGGTTTTGGTAGTGAAAAGAGTACATTGAAACCAAAGGACATAAGTAAACTATTTGTAAAACTTATGCCCACTTGTCAAACTTTAAAATCTCCATTTCAATAGCCATTCCATAGGCTCAAAGTCATACAAGTACAAAATCAAGCTAGGAACATGTGCGGAAATGGAGTTTGTGTCAAGAAACAAAAGACAGATTTGACGTTGTTTTGCGTAACGGACACAACCAAAGCTACGCTTATCGGATTGGGGTGAAATTTATACCGTTTTGAAGCTAAGGCAGAGAGATACAACTTTTATGAAGACTACCTAGTCTAGTTATCACCCTAACGAGGTCAAATTTACCAAAACAACTCCAGATTTTTCAGTTCGAAGCTCACTGTGAAATTCAACTAGCAGTCCTGATTCATTCACTCATATCTCAGCACACACCACTCCAATTCAGGTAATTGCAAAGCCATTTGAAAGCTAAAATACAAGGCTATAATTCTTAAGAAGGCATCAACAACCAATTCGGTAATATTCCTGGTCAAACTAACCACTTACAGAGGTTGATTATCATTTTTGACAGAAACAGGGTAGCAGGGGCAATTTTGTCATTTCACAAGATACCCTCCTCCGATTGAGCTAAAATTTTGCAAGCAACTATAAAACATCATTCTATACAATTTCATGTTTTATTCTAAGCCTAATTCGGCCTCTATCATAGGCAAACAGAAACGGGCAGAACTGAAAACAAGATTTCCTGAAATCTGGAATTTGGGGTTTAAAAGGGATCTCTTCTTTTTTTGCTTTAATCACTACCACTACCTCTTATACAAGCTTACATACCTCATCTACCATCCATACAACAAGTATGAGAAGGGAATCATTCAAACCCTAACTCAATTGCATCATTCCAATCATCCAAAATCACTTGATATAAGCATTATTATAACCACAAATACAAGCTACTAAGCAACTCCAACATGATTAAAGGACAACGTGTGATAGCGCCACCTCACCCTAGGGCGGACCCTAGGGTATCAGCAGGCTGCCTGCCCAGCTCTCGCCGGGGCTCGGTCGATCAAAGAACTAGCAATTCAAATAACAAGAGAAATAACTTCAAATCAAAGCGTACAAACTGTAATGGCATAAAAACTTCAAGCCAACTTTCCAAACTTCAAATGGCAAGTTAAAAGTCACACTTATCACTCCATACTACAATTACTTAACATAAGTCGGACTTATAGAATCAAGCTTACAGGAGTCAAAAGCAAGGTCTTTTTAAACAAAAGGTTACAATATCAAGATACAAGTTCTTAGCAAAACAAAGCTAGGTAAACTCTTGATCAAATCCCTTCCAAGTAAAACAAGTAACCATATAGCCATATAAGGTCACAAAACAACCAAATAAACACCATTCAGTAGAGTAACAGTTAATCACAGTTCAATTCAAGGATACGGGTGGCTTTCAAAAGCCAAAGATGCCCTGGAGCTTGATCATAATTGTCTTCTGTTGACACTCCGTCAACACTTGTAAGCACAGTATAAAAGGGTCCGTAGAACACCACTTTCACCAGTCTCCGTCCACCAAATCAACCTCCTACTGGGCCCGCACTCCATAAACAGTAGTTTGGTAATACTTGAGTATACCGGTTTCAGTGCACAGTAAACAGTCCTCAAGGTTTATTGGCCTTCTCGACCAAGCCCTTGCTGGCCCAATACGACCGACTCACCTATGAGGTTGGGTACCCAAACAGTAATAGTAGTTGATGGAATGTCATCCAAGCAACTTAAGCACAGTCATGTATAACAATATCTCATTTCATGTTAACTTATTTAGTAAGTGGAGCCTCAGTGGAAAAACAAGGAAGGTCGAGTGCGATAAAGTACACACTCGCCTCGATTTTAAATAAAACAGTGTTTGGCTCAAACAATAGCAAATCAATGATTCCAAGTATGCAAGTATTCCACATAACAAGTAGCAAGTAGTGGAACACTCACCTGTCAAGCAAAACTAGCAATTGACGTCAAACGTCTCAGTTACGATCACCTTCGTTGCCCAAACCTTGGTCAACGAGCGAAACCATTAACAATTGGATTCGTTCCTTACTAAAGTATAGGTTCATTAAGAGACCAAATGAGTAGCCTAAGCTACTTAATCTATCATGAAAATAAGGTCCAAACCATGGGAAAATTTGATAAGAAAACAAGTTTGGTATGTACATGAAAGTTCGGCAAAAGAAGAGTTTCACCGAAGCCCAAAAGTTTCATTACGGTTAAACTGTCTCGCCAGACCAGCCTCGGGAAAACGGTCATTTCTCATTGTGGAAAAATCCGAATTAGGTTCCATTGGTGGCGTTGGAAACTAGGTTCACAAAGCTATATTTGTCTAGAAGAAACCATTTCCAAAATTCCAACGTAAGTGGTTCAAAATTAAGAAACCAAAAGAAATTTCTAGGCTGTCTCGGGTGAACAGTACCACACGGACAGCCAACTTTCAAGACTCGCCACGAATCGCTCGGGTCAAACCAGAAAATGCGTTTGGTACCATTTTAAAGCTCTAAGAATCTATTTTCAAATGCCACAAATGGCACTCAAATCCGATCACGAGTAAAACGTTATGACCTTCACAAGACAGCTGGTCAGTAACTTTCTGGACCCAGTCCAGTTTTGCTCCTTGGCTTATAACTCATAACTTATGCAATCAAATTGGCTAATTTTTTGTAGACAACCTCCACACATATAACCCAACATATATCAGTCACATTTGTAGCCGAAATATGCTTGAAAATATCAAGGAAAAACAGGGCAGTAAGTTATGCGAAATTTCGGCCAGCCCTCTTCCAAAAATTTCTAACTTTCATCCTTCTTGATATTTTCACTCCTTGCACCTAACAAGTGTTAGATCTA